CAGTTCTTTAACATTCTCTCTAGTAGCTAGCTCTTTCTTCAACCTGTCATTTGTTACTTAGGTTTATCATATGATTTTTATGTTTTCAACTCCTTTTATAGTAATTTAAAGTCTGCATATTGTTTATATGAATTTTGTAACTGAGATACAATCAACATCAGGAGTTGTTAGGAAAACTACTGGTCAATCCTCAATACTGAAGAGAAAAAATGTCTCGCATTGGAAAGTCTGGTTTTATACTAACTCTGTAAAACAAACTCCTTGATACAATAAGCTACACTGGCAAAAGCACTTGCTAGTATTTTTGTCTACTAGGGGTTTTGTTGGTTTAAAACAATAAATTGCGCGCCAACCTCATGTACCAGCCCACTGGAAGTTCCTAGAATAGCCATGGCTTGGATGGTTACATCCCAGGCAGAGCAGAGTCAGAACACCCCCAGTGCTGTCTGTGGTCCAGACTTGCCCGACTGCTCTGTGTGCTTCCTGGCCTCTCATTTCACATGTTCCTACCTTCCACCTCCACCTTTTTTTTTTTTTCACTCATTGAGAACAAATAAAGTAATTAGAAGTGTTCTTCAGGCAGAGGGAGGAGCAGAGGCAAAGTATGTAATGTTTAGTGTGAGCTGTTTTCCTTTTGTAATGCATGCCCTGGAACTGTGTGCCTAGCTGGGGTCAGTGTGATTGTTCCTAGCATCGAAAAGGGACCAGCCAGGAAGCTGCAGCACTCCCATCACACCAAAGCTGCAGCACTCCCATCACACCAAAGCTCCAGCACTCCCATCACACCGTGCATCCTGCCCCTTCCCTCACGTGCCTTCTACAGTAATGGCCTTCTCCAAACCAGCTATTTCTTCATCGAGGGAATGAAGCTTAGGAGCCTAATTCTGAATTTCCTAAGTTTTAACCTTTCTGACGGTCTGCAGGGGTGAAAATCGTGTGTGATCATGTAATTAAACCTACTATAACGTTGCAGATCCACAACTGACTTTGCACAAAGGAAGTCTGCCTCAGCATTCCCTAGTTTTTACATAATTTGTGCCAGGGATGTGTTTTTGCTGTCCTGTGAAAATCCACCTATTTGGCCCAAGCACATGCAGTACTGCATGTTCAGCTTGACCTTTTTCCAGGAATGTACCTGCTTTTTGGACCAGAGGATTTGCTGCTGCCTGTACCCACACTCTGGGCAGGAAGCAGGGATGGAAAGCGGTCCAGCAGGAGAGAGGAGGGCAGGTCAAGAATAGGAGGGAAGAGGAGGAGGACAACATAGGGGATGAGGAAGAAAAGGGGCTGAGACAAGGAAGGGTAGCCTGCTGCTGAATTAGGACCTGGGCATTAGGAATGGGTGCAGGGCATGCAGTGTGGGCAGAAACAGGCAAGAGAAATCCAGGACTGGCAGGAGCAGGGATGAAGA